AAGTTCCAGTTGCTCCATATCCTCACTAACATATCTTTATCATTGGTTATTTTAAATTTAGTCACTCCAAAGGTTTACATCTGACTGCTAAGTTGTTCTGCCTCTCATAGTGGGAGGTCTCTCATATTATTCCAAGAATTAACACATACTAAAAATCAAAGAATCAACTTGCAATGCACCTTCAAGTTTTCCTTTTCAATCCTGCTGTAACATTCACTTTCTGTTTCCTCTGGACTCTGCTCTTCCATGCAGTCTTTTCTCTAATCTGTTGTAATTCCATGGCAGTATTATTGGTTATCTATAATTATGATCTATTACTTTTTAATTTCTAACACACCATCTGACTAAAACTTATTAATTCTTTAAATGCTCATGATATGCTTGCCTGAGCAATGCCGTGTCAAACAAGGGTTATTAGTGCAGCTTGAAAAACTCGATCTACATAGTGCATATTCTTTCAGATGCTGATGATAGCAATCTTGTATCTATCATCACAGATCAGAGGTTAAAACCTGGCTTCTTCATATACTATAGAAAGCATCATCTTCACACCTCAGGTTATTTACTTTCTGATTGATTGATGGATAAATAAAATGAACATAAATATATAATCACTTCATGGGGTAGATACAGACATGTAATAAAATAATTTTGGTTAAGCATTTGGCACATAAATGATCAGTAGACGTGAGCTATTATTATTACCATATGAGATACTATTGTCTGTGAGGAAGGCATTGTTATTCCTATTTTGCAGACGAAGTAATAAAAACTTAGAGAATCAAACTCAACAGAGATCAGATAGTTCTCACACATGGTAAAAATGGAATTCTAACCCAGCCCTAACCAGCCACAGAGGGTTACCACCAGCCTGTCTGACAGTAGTATCTTCTGTACCTTCATTGAAATCTTAAACACAGTGTCTTCAGTATAGAACTCTGAGGACAGCCAGTAGAAACCTTTCAGTTCTGACAAGGTTGTTGGGTCTCTTTCAGAATGGCCTTTCAATCAGTTGGTCCTTCGATCTTTAAAATATGTAATGTAAAGAGACCTTAGCACATGCTGAAGATGACCAGTTTAAGGTTTAGTAGGACTAGAGCCATTCTGAAATTAAGACTGGACTCTAATGAAAACAATCTAAGAGTCATAGGGATATCTGTTTGAGGAATGGTCAGATCAGAAACCAGGAATAGGTATTTGAAGGGATCAGGATAATTACTCAGGAGAAAGTGATTGACTGATTGTAGTGGGGAAAGATTTACCCATGCTTATATCTTGTATCTATAAATACTAAGAATATGTTGGGTTTTTTGATACAGTTGATGGTACTTGCTGACTGACTCCCTGTAACCAGTTTCAGAAATAAACTCCCTTCATCTTCAGCCTCTATCTCTTCTTTCAATGACCAGCTGGACTTAGTTGGCTGGTAAAATACTTTACAAAAATTGTATCCCTTCAATTTTATAAAAAAATGAAAATAATGGTAATCATCCATTAATCAATTTGTGTATGTATGTGAAACAGAGAGAGTAAGAAAGATCATCTTAGGGGACCAGCAGTTAGCGTAGTGGTTATGTCGCTAGACTCCCACGTAGTCGACCACGGTTTGCATCCTAGACCCGGTGGCTTAAAACTCATGCCGGGCACATGTGCGTGCGTGCCCAAGATCCTGAGAGGAGAATGGAGGAGAAGGGATTGCGACGTGGCCATCCCCCCTGGAGGGTGATTTCTCGCTTTCTATCTCTCTGTCTCTCTCTGGCTGGCTGGCGAGTACACGCGCCCTATAGCAAAAACCTCTTCAAAAAAATAAAAAGATCATCTTAGTTCCTAGTAATTATGTTTTATTTCCTAAGTACTGTCCCTTTGTTAGCCTAATATATCTATAACAACTTTTTGTGAAAAATATTAATAACTTGAAAAAGGATGTTATGTTTATTCCTCCAAGTAAAAGATGACAAGTTGGAAGTAAACACATTGCAAAGTTGGATTCTAGGAGCTTTCTATCAAGAATTCATAGATACACTAGTAAGAACGTGATTCAGAACGATCCAAAGTTATCCATGGAGTAGCAGAATCATAGTCACCAATAGACAGTGTGGAAATGTTTTAATTCTAGTTCATGAATTAAAGTAGCACTGGAGTCAATTTTTGGTGACATCAAAATTTCCAGAATGCTTCCCCTAATCAAATTTGCAGGAAAAACCCTCCACTAGAAAGCTCCAGAATAGCACTAAGATCAGATCTAAGACGACCAACTTAATTAAATCAATAAACATTTAGTAGATGTCCAATATGTACTAGGAACTGGGGATTAAAAAGCTAAATAAGTTCTTTTCCTTGACCTTGAGAACTGCACCACATAATAGGACAGAATGAGATGTAAGCAACTAATTAGAACACAGTAGAGAAAGTCTATTATGCAGTTAGCTACAAGGTGCAAGACCTATACAGAGAGATGCTGTATTCATCCTTTCACGAGTAAAGAACAAAGAAATTTGACCTGGACATTTAGAACACATAAATTAGCTCAAAGTCCATGCCCAGTATCAGAGTCACAATGGAAAGCATCCCAATCTCGAAACTTTTGCTTCCATGGCTCTCTAACATGTTGCAGAGTAATGCTCTTTTACAAGATAAGATAACTGATGATTCCACGATAAGCCAGATAATGTTAGCCTCCTTACATTATCTCTAAAGCCAAAAGAGAGCAATAATGCTAAAATGGAAAACATTGAAACACATGAACACATCAACTGAAGATACTTTTAGGAGTCTGGAAGTGTATTTGTCAGTGTTGTTTATATCAACTGGCAGCTGTCTACATCACAACACTTTTTCACGAAAGTTTCTGTGATCCTGAAACAAAGATACTTCCAGGGCTCCAAAAAGTCCTTGGCATGGGGTACTGGAGATGACTTCCCTACCTGACATCTGCAGGGTCTTCTGTGACGAGCACATCAGTCTTGCAGCTGGCCAGGGGGTTGATGGACAGCTCCACAGGTGGCACCACAAAGCTTTTGCTGACCGGAAGCCAGAGGCCTTGGCCCAAGCTGAAAGTAGACCTGCAATGTAAGAGTTTCCATTGGGGAACTCCCTGGGAAGCAGAGAGCAAAAAATAAAGGGGGCCCTCTTCCCACCCACTCTAGGGCATCTTCTCCCTTCCCCACCCAAGCCCCTGCATTCGCCAAGGCACAAGGATGGATAACTGTGCCCAGACTTTGCTGACCATTTCTTAAAAATGCTAATCATTTAGCTCAGGCATTGCTCTGTATTATGAGCGTTTTTCTTTCCTGAGTTCACAGAAGGCTCTGCGAGGACAAGTATGGTTTCTGTTCTGCTTTTCTAGTCATGAAATCTAGCAGGAGTTCCATAAATGACTGCTAAGTCAGCTCTGCGAGGACAAGTATGGTTTCTGTTCTGCTTTTCTAGTCATGAAATCTAGCAGGAGTTCCATAAATGACTGCTAAGTCAGCATGAAGTGCCTGGCACAAAGTTTAAGAGCACAGACTTTGGATCAATTAGAACCAATATCTGATTCCCAGTTCTGCCCCTTAACTTGCTGTATGTCTTTAATAACTCAAGTATTAACGTTTCACGTAAGATTTCATGGACATGGTAGGAAGACATTCTATGGCTACAAAAAAAATTTAAGCCACTAGATTAGATAATAGGTAATGTCTTCTCCAATGTAGGTATCTGAGACATTAAGTCTAGATGCCAGACAAATGGAAATTAAATCCCCGTAGCAACCTGAACCACGATGGTGTATTAGTACCATTGAGAGTGCCCCTGTGCTCAATGCAGCCTAGAGGTGCACAGGCTCAATCGATTGAGGTCATATGGCCACACTTTCCTATCAAACTTTCTTCATTCCCCCCAATCACGCCCCAACAGGAATGTCAAGTCACCTGAGAATCTTTTCAGGGGCTTGCTCCCCAGTCACCAGATCGTAGCCCCTTTCAAGTGTTGTGTAAGGCCAAGGTCTGTGAGAAAAACAGAGGGAGAGACAGAAAGGGGAGAGGAAATGTCATTAGTCAGAATCAGATAGGGTTCACATGTGGAAATGATTTACAAACAACCAAATTTGACAGACGTAATTATTGAGCATACTATTTACATTATAAATGAATGTGTATGTGTTAAAGAAGGACTCAGCACTTTTATAAAGTTCACTTGTTTAAGAGTTTATGCACAGAATTCTGATTCTTGTTCTTTATAAGTCTACTTAAGAAGGTGTTTATTGAAAGTGTTTATTGCTCCATAGTGCAGCAGTTAAAAACTGTACAGAGGGAACTGGATCCCACAGTACAAATCTTGTCCCTAGTAACCACATGCCAGGCATGAGTGAGCACATTCCCAGGATCATGATGGGATGGTGGACCCTGTTGAGGAGTGTTTTTTAAGCTCTCTCTCATGCCATGTGCATACCCCTGTGCCATTTTAAAAGAGAAAGTGTGCACTGATTACGTATTCTTCTGGTAGGTGACCCAGACATCACCCTCTGTTCTCTAGAAGATTCGGTCATAAACCCTTAATACTAACATGACTTAGCAGGAAAGCAGAATTCACTTCCCATTAGATTCTGCAGGAACATGGCATTGTAGACCGAGTTCTCTTTTTGGAGAGGTTTTAGGTCTCCAGTGACAGAGTAGAGGTGGTAGGGATGGGTGTTTTACTGCCCAGCCCTGATGTCCTTTGCCACTCACCCTTCACTTTGACCCCAGTCACTGCGCACACACAGGTGTTTGTGGACGGGGTCAGGTGCGTAGCCTTCATGACAGCTGCACTCTCCTGTAAGCAAAATGAGAAAAGAACCTCGTGAAATGGGGCCTCCTCAAATAGGCTTTACCCTGGCATCCTTGTTTTCCTGGGAAACAAAGTGAGTTTCTTTGTTTTAGAAAAGGTCCATGGGAAAAGAATGCTCGAGGCTATTTGACCAACCATTGTGGTTAATAAATGGTTTACTTATTTGTTCATTCACTCATTTATTCATTCACTAGGTCATGGCCACATGCTGCCAGACTTGCAGCCCAGCACTGGAGATGCAGAGAAGAGAGATGCGCTTCAGCCGCTGAAGAAGTACACACTTAAAATTTCAAGATGGGGATGCCAGCAGGTGGGTAATGGTTATTAAGGCACTGGACTCCCACAAGGTCGACCGAGTTTGAGCCCCAGACCCAATGGCTTGAAACTCATATCCACCATGTGTGTTCCATCCCCAGAGGAGAATGGAGAAAAGGGGATTGTGGCATGGCCATGCCCTTGGGGGGGGGGTGATTTCTCACTTTTTGTCTCTCTGTGTCTCCAGAAAGCACAAATGGCCTACAGAAAAAAATCTCTTAGAAAAATAAAATAAAAGTTGAAAATGAGAAGTAGTCAGGTGGCTGCAAATGGAGGTCCTATTTTTTGATAAAGTGCTTTTACTCTAAAAGTATAATCAGAAAGTAAAATTCTCCCCACCTCAGTGAGCAAGGCTTGACCACCATAAACCCCAAATCAAATGCCACACCCTTCAAGAAACCTTTGCTTTTCCCTTTTGAAGGAAAAAAAAAGTTGCTTTGGTCTATAATTTTCTGGTTGTTTTCTTTTTTTTTTTTTTAAATTTTTAAGTAGTTTTTCTCCTCTTCCCCTTCTTTCCCATGCCATTGTCTCTCTTACCCTCCTTCTTCTCCCCTCTGCTCCCCTTTCCTTCTCTTCCCTTCCATCATCTATCCTGTACTCATCCATCCAGGAGTCTGTCTTCCACCACTGATGCATCCATTCCTCAGTCCATGAATCTATCCTCCATCCATCCGTGCACACCCACCCATCTTCCCAAGGATCTGTACCCCATCCGTCTACCTATGCATCTATGCACCCATTCATCATCCTTTTCCTGGCTGTGTCTTACACCTGGTTGCATAAATGTTTACTAGTATTCCACATTCCCTTAAGCATCTTCTCCTATTGGCCAAATTCAGTTTAGTTGGCCAGGGCATTTTCCCATTTCCTAGTACATCTCCAGATCTCAGAATCCTAGAAGGTTCTTAGAAGCTCTCCATCCCCCCGCCTCCTGCCCACACATGCCGCTGTGATCCCTTCAGCTCTACCACACGTTTCATAGAGTAGGGGAATCATTTTTGATTCAGTGAATTATTGGTATTTTTTTCCTAAGGTGTATTTGTGGAATGGTCACAGATGCTTTGCCAAAAATAGATTCTACATAGGAAAAAAGTTTGAAAAATACTATACCATTTCTTAGAGCCAGTACAGAGTAATTCCCCACGAGGGCGATACATGTGTAATTTTCCCCAAACTTATTTTAAAGCTTGCTGGTAGAATGACTAACAGGATTAGTGTTCTGTGGAACATATCTATGGAAACACCGGTAGGAACTGCCCTGGTTTAGCCCACTGCTTAGAACAGAGTAGGTGTTCAACAATGTGAGTGGAATGAAAAATTAACTGTCTGTTATGGCTGTAGTAAATTTTCAGATCATTGCTGTCAGGTTCCCTCTTCCTCATCATTTGGGGACCTCTCTGGCTTTCTCTGTATCTCTCTCTCTCAAACACACACACACACACACACGTACATACACACACACACCTGCATTCCTTTGATCCTACTGTAATTTATTATTTTTTTTGAGTTTTGTGCTATAGGATGAGTGCACTTGCTGGAGACACACAGAGAGACAGAGATACAGGCAGTGAGAAATCACCCCCAGGGTGATGGCCACGCTACAGTCCCTTCTCCTCCACTCTCCTCTTGGGATTTTGGGCACACACACACACACACACACACACACACACACACACACAAACACACACACCTGGCATGAGTTTTAAGACACCATGTTCAGGACTCAAATTGCAGTCAACTACGTGGGAGTCCAGTGACGTAACCATTACGCCACCTGCTGGTGCCAATCCTAGGTAATTTTGATTGACCTAACTCAAGATGTTTTAAATAGAGTCCACAGAAATGTATTGTTCAATGGAGATTTGGGCACAGTGCAAATTTTACGTTTCAATTTTCCATAAGCTTTATTTTAAAAATCTTCTTAAAAATAAAAAAAAAGAATAAACACACAGATGTCAGAAATCAGAATTTGGGCCACTGAGGGCCTCGTCATATTAATTCCAGCTGCCAGGTAAACTTATTTTTTATGCAGGCTTCTGAAAAAAGGTGTGACCTGTCATCTTTGTTTCATTGAAAAGAATGCTGAGACTGAATCAAGGCGCTGATGAGCTTATGCTCTATTTGCCACTACAGATCTTGTGAATCAGGGTTTTCTCAACCTTGTACAACTCAAAGAAAATACCATAGAAATAGGAAACTAGAGTAATCAGAACGTGGGTTCTATAACTGACACCCATTATCCTGATTCCAGAAGGTTTGTATTCATCAAATAACATTATTGGGTTCTCTGGTGAACAGTAAATTATACATTGGACCTTAGATGAAGCTTTTGGAATGTATTTGTTTTGTTTTGTTTTGCTTTGTTTTTGAGAGGTTTTTGCTATAGGGCGTGTGCGCTCGCCAGAAAGATAGAGAGAGACAGAGAGACAGAAAGCGAGAAGTCACCCCCTAGGGGGGATGGCCACGCCGCAATCCCTCTCCTCTATTCTCTCGGGATCTTGGGCACTCATGCACTCATACCCGGCGTGAGTTTAAGCTATCGGATCCGGGACTCGAACCACAGCTGACCACATAGGAGTTCAGCGACATAGCCATTACACTAATGGCTGGTCTAAGGAATGTGTTTTTTTAATTTTTTAATTTTATTTTTTTTTAAAAACCTCTAGTTTGTTTTATGTATTGCATCACTGCTTAATCTTTGTATCCCCAGCACCTAGCAAGTATTTAACAAATAGCCCAAGCTTCACGAATGTTGGTTGGACTGAAATGGTAGTAAGACAAGAGTATGGAATGAATAGACCAGAGAGAGTAACCAACATATTCAGAACGAGGTTGTTGAAAGACAGGAGGAGGTGAAGAAGGAAAGACAGAAAAGAGAGTTCTACTTTTCCTTTTTCTCTGCATACCTGGTAGAAAAGGAGGGGACTGTTCCTAAACAGACCGGCAGCTTGTAAGTCTTCCCTCCAACACCACGCCGGGGGGTCTCTCAAAAAGGGGACGTGCTCTATATGTAATTTAATGAACAGATTATGCCAGAGGTAAGAAAAATGGAGGGAAAAGGCTAAGAGCCTTGAATTTGGATGGGAATAATTTACCAACGCGGAGAGAGGTAGGAATCACTAATGATGTGTTAAAATGCAACACTCCCTTCATGAAATATTCACCACTTTAAACACATCTAATATTAAAGATGAAAAGTCCTGGGATTTGTCCTCGAGACTCCCAGGACTGATTTATGAGGTGCCACAAACCACAGACTCATGATTCATAATGGGAGAGGTAAAACGGTTACCTCTGGCAAAGGGACAGGAAGCCAGGCTGGGGTGAGCTCGGAGGGGTGGATAAAGAGGACTTTTCCTCTCCATGGAAAGGACAAAGACAGAGGATCCTATCTGATCTGTGACTCTACAGAAACAGCACAGTTCATTTTTCTCGTTTTCCCTCTTTTTGGAAATATTGGTGAAAATGAGAAATCTGTTTAGAAACATGGGGCTGTTGTATTTTTCTCTTTCTTTCCATGCTTACTAGGCAAGTTTTCTCTGGCTCCGAATGGATCATTAATTACTGACACTCATTATACAACAAATATATATTTTTCAAATGAGAGGCACCTTCCCTGGGGGCCCCCATAAGGCTGCCTGGAGACCATGATATAAGCAGAGGGAAAAGTCCCTGAGTCCTGTAGGCAGACAGATCCAGGCTCAGGCTCCTTGTTCTCTCATCCTGTTTATGTGGCCTTGGGGAAGTTACTGTACATCACCTTTTTGGTCTTAGTTTTCTCATCTATAGAATAGGATTGGGGGTGGGGTCGGCAGGTGATGTGATGGCTAAGGGCGCTGACTCCCACATGGCCGACCGCAGTTCAAGTCCTGAACCTGGCAGCTTGCTTTCTCACTTTCCCTAGTGCTCTTTCTCTCTGTCCCTCTGAATGAATGAATGAATAAAGTTAAATAAAATAATTTTTAAAAACAATAGGATTGAGGGTAATGTCTAGCTCACAGAGCTGACATAAGCACAGATGGAGATAGTGAAGGGTAAAGTGTGTGGCTCAGGTAGACAGGAGTTGATGGCCAATAAGTTAGTTTTCTCTTTTTTTCCCTTTAATTCTAAGGTGCCTGCTGAGTTCTGGCACATGTTCTCCTATTAACTCTAGGAACATAAATGATTTCCTCCTTTCTGGGCTTAGTTTTCTCACCTGCAAAATGGAAGACTAGTGTAGATGGATATTCATCAATTCTGAGCACCAGGTGGCAGATGTCTACACTGCCTTCCTAACCCCAAACCTCTGCTCTCTAGACACTGTTTGTTTTCATCTCAACTGTGATCACTCTTCACAGGGAGGCTGGGCGTCTCCACAAGATCTCCATCAATGCCAAGGCTATTGGCTTTATTGACTCCTGTTTTCTATTTTGCTGGCTCAGCTGACTCTTCACTCTTTGCAACCAAGCATTTCTTTCTTGCAAGATGCTAAGCCTCTGACAGCCAGAGGGTTTTAACCCCTTCCCTGGGCAAGTCCTTCCTTTCTTCAACGCTGCCTCTGTACACAGGGCAGTTATGCTGTCAAACCCAGCTCTCCAGGGATGCGCTGTTTCCACGTGCTGACAGTGAGGGCCTTTGCCGCTCTACCTTTGTCACTCTAGCAGGAGCTCCTAAAAGGAAGGTGGCCCAGTTACCTTGTGACCACTGTGACCAGCAACTGTCACACTGCCTGGTATTACATATAGGCCTTTAGTAAATAAGTGTTCCACAATAAAGGGATATACTTTATAGTAGTCGTGTCTATGTTCATGGAGTGGGACATAATGACCTATTTGTCTGTTTCCACTACTGAACTGGGACTTTCTTTTTTTTTTGGAGAGGTTTTCACTATAGGGCGCATGCACTCACCAGACAGACAGAGAGAGACATAGAGACAGAAAGCGAGAAATCACCCCCTAGGGGGAACGGTCACACCGTAATCCCTTCTCCTTCATTCTCCTCTCGGGATCTTGGGCA